AAAAAAAAAAAAAAAAAAAAAAAAAAACTCCTCCATAAGACTTCTACACTTAATAACCAAATTCAGTAGAGTAGCTGGATACAAAGTCAACACCCAAAAATCAGTAACTTTGCTCTACACAAATAACAAACTCACTGAGAGAGGAATTAAGGAAACAGCACCTTTCACAATAGCATCCAAAAAAAATGAAATACCTAGGAATAAATCTAATGAAGGAAGTCAAAGACCTCTACTCTGAAAACTACAGCACTCTGAAAAAAAGAAATCCAACAGGGTATCAGAAAATAGAAAGATATCCCTTGCTCCTGGGTAGGAAGAACCAATATAGTGGAACTGGCCATATTCCCAAAACTGCTATATATATATTCAATGCAATCCCAAATGAAATTCCAACAGCATATTTCACAGAACTAGAGAAAAAAATCCAAAAATTCTTTTGGAACAAGAAGAGATCTGGAATACCAAAAGCAATTCTATGCAATAAAGACAAGTCAGGGAGTATCACAATTCCCAACTTGAAACTGTAGTACAAAGCTACTGTAACAAATAATGGTACTGGCAAAGAAACAGACCCTCAAGGATCAGTGGAACAGATTAGAAGATGCAAAAACAACTCCAGACATACTCAGTCATCTCATTTTTGACAAAGGAGCCAAACATTCACACTGGGGAAAAGATAGCCTCTTTAATAAATGGTGCTGGAAAAACTGGGTTTCAACTTGCCAAAGATTAAAACCAGGCTCATATTTCTTACCATACATTAAACTATAATCAAAATGGATCAAAGATCTAAATATTAAAGCAAAACCCTTGAAGAAAGAACTCTTGAAGACTTTATGAACAAACCTCAGTTGCATGAGAACTGACACAAAGAACCAACAACTGGGATATTTTCTTATTAAAAAGCTTCTGCACAGCAAGAAAAACCAAATCAGAGTGAAGAAACAACCTAGAATGTGGGGAAAAATTACCAGCTGTTCCTCAGACAAAGGACTCCTACCTAGAATATATAAAGGACTTTAAAAAAAAATCAAAGCCCCCCCCAAATTTGAAGACCCAATCCAAAAATGAGCATCTGAAATGAACAGAAATTTCTGAGATGAAGAAGTAGAAACATCAAATAAACATATGAAAAATATTCAGCATCACTGGTCATTCAAGAGATGCAAATGAAAACACTGAGATTCCATCTCACTCTAGAAAGAATGGCTGCTATCAAGAAATCAATCAATATCAAATACTGGCAGAGCTGTGGGGGAAAAGGAACCCTTCTCCACTATTGGTGGGAGTGTAGACTGGTGCAACTACTGTAGAAATCAGTGTAAAGATTCCTCAAAATCAGAGGAACGATTCGGTATTTACACATGTGTGACTTATTTATTTCACTTAGGAGTATATCCTGAATAAACTGTAATACTACATAAAATCCTAATGAGATAACTGACATTGTGAAATGGGAAGCAAGGGGCTAAAGGTGTAGGGAAGGTGGGATGGGTAGGGGAAGGATAATAAGGGAAAAGAAAAAAATGTGAGAAAATGAAAAGATGGAAATAAAGTGTTTGTAAATGGGGAGGGGAGGAGGGGATGAAGGGAGGGCAGGGACAAGGGGAAAAAATGAGAACCAAGACCTGTCATGTAGAGGTACAAGATCCCAACAATGAATGTAACTGTACTGTATCCCTAAAATGTACCAATAAATTCCATTATTTAATTTAAAAAGATTCTTCAAAATCTAGGACTAGAGGTCCCATTTAACCCAGCTATTCCCCTGCTGGGTATTTTCCCAAAATAATTAAAAGCATCATACCACAGTGATATATGTGCACCGATGTTTATAGCAGCACTGTTTGTAATAGCAATAATCTTGGAAACAGCCTAAAAGCCCATCAACTGGTGATTGGATTAAGAAGATGTGTTTTTTTTTTAATAAAATGGAATACTACTCAGCCAAAAAGAAATATAAACTAGAGGCATTTATAGCTAAATGATGTACCTTGAGGCCATGTAAGTGAATAAATAGGATACTTAAGTGAAATAAATAAAGAAAATATTCAAAAGGGAAGAGGGACTTAGGAAGGGGGTGGGGTAAAGGAAAGGAGGGAAAGAAAAAAATGAAAAAAGAAGGAAAAATGGAAATAAACCTTTTGTAAATAAGGAGGAGTGGAGAGATTGAAGGGAGGGAAGTGGAATGGGAAAAATAAGAACTCAGAAATGTCATGTACAGGTACAAATTCCTAGTGATAAATGTCATCATAATGCATACATAAAATATACCAATAAACTTAATGAAACATATATATACA